AAGCACACATGTAGAAGGCATCCTATACATATGTACTTAAAATATCGGCTAAGGGGCACCCGGGTGGCTCAGTGAGTTAAGCATCCGACTCTTGATTTAGGCTGAGATTGAGCCCCGAATCCAGCTCCACACACTGGGCATGGAGCCTGCTTGAGATTCTCTCTCTCCCTCTCTCTGTCCCTTCTCCCCTACCCCCTCCCCCTCCACTCACATACTCTCTATTGCTCTTAACCCTCTCAAAAAATAAAAATAAAATAAAGGCTGAAACAGTTAGAAAGGGTATCAGGAGTGACATAGAATTTAGCCAGGCTTTCAAGGGTGAAGAGATGCTTCCTTCTCAAATGCAGGGGTAATATTCAAATACTTGGTCAAAGGGTAGAAACTTTCAGTGATGAGTAAGTTCTGAGGATCTAAAGAACAGCACAGTGACTACCGTTAATAATTCTGTCTTTGTACACTTAAAATTGAGGAGAGTAGATCTTAAACACCCTCACCCCATCAAAATGAAAGGTCATGATGGGAGATGATGGATATGTTCATGAGATTATGGCAAATACCCTACAATATCTATCAAATCATTGTGTCATGCACGTGATACACAATTCTGTTTGTCAATTACAGCTCAATGAATCTGGAAAAAGACAAAACAAGGCAAGGATAGCAGGGTTTAAAAAAGCAATCAATCCAAGAATATGGTGCGGGAGCAGTCCCTGAAGGTTCTCTGAGGTGCTGGTATGAACCTGTGACTTGCTGGATGGTAAGTTCCTGGAGGATGGAGCGGGCTGCCAGAGGAGAAAGGGTACTGGGGCCTTCGGGACACAGGCTGTTTGCCTACAAGTACAGACATATTTTAGTATTTTACAAACTGGTACGGTTGCACAGAAGCGCCAGACTGAATCTCCGTCCTGAGCAGAAGAGAGCTGGGAGGTCTCCAGCGAAGGGGGTGCTGAGCTGCTTCACACTTCATGGTTACAAGGAGACCACCCAGTCGTGTGAGGGTAGGATGGGCAGAGCCGGGTGGGGGTGGGGGGACAGTGGAGCTGTGGCTCTGCCCTTTACAGGTTGAGCTAAGCTTCAGTGACCACGTGCACAACGCGGAGGTAATCGCAGGACCCCCCTGAAAGGATCCAGTGAGAAAACCACGTGTCCTTCCTTCCACCCTGTTTGCTAAGAGGCAGATGTTATTTTAGTAGTAGTAATAGTATCATCACCATCATCATTGCCATCAGGAGCAGCACTGGCCAGTGCTGCCACAGTCCATGTGATCGTGGACAAGTCAACCACTCTGACCAAACTTTTGAGTATATGAAAACATGAAGTTTCTGGGGAACAGGCCCACATTCTTATCAGGTTCTCAAAAAGAGTTCAAAACCATTGATGTTTCCAATTCTACATCTTCGAAAGGCTTACTCTTCACTTCAAATATCCAGAAACGAATGGTCTCGGCCGAGATTAGGGTAAATGATACCTATTAATCACTATCCTGTTGCCCTTTATTCTAAAGGCCACCAAATTTATTTTGTATTTCATCTGAGAAATATGCGTTACCTCATTTTTTCAAATGTTGCACTCAGTAGTCTTATTTGACTATAAACCACAATACACGCTCTTTCCAAATTTTAAACGTTTATTTCAAATGCTTAAAACAAAGTTAACAATAACCACAATACTTATAAGGAGTAAAAACATTAAAATATAAAAGTAAGTATTGAAACACGTACTTTGTTTAATTTGAAGACATTTGCCACGGAAACACAGGCGACCTGCATCAAATAACTTCCACTGCATTCTGGCGCCTGAACTTTCCCTAACACACAAAAAAGAAGGCTCTTGGGAGCCGCTAAACAAACTTTATGATTATTTGTTAAGAAAATAAAGCAAAGTGCAGTTCTGCACAAAAATCTTACCAAAAATGATGGCTGAGGTATATTTATGTAGATTACTATAGTTAAAGAGGAAAAAAAATCAAACAAAATATCCACTCTTACTTAAAACGTCCTTACATTAAAAGAATGGCCGGTCTCTCATACAAAAACCGGAGACATATACACAGCTGCAATCAAAAATCACTTGCATCCACATGATGCTTTGTCCCTCCCAAACACCGCTGGTGCCTACAAATCCTGCCTCCTGGCTGTGCGGAATTTGAATTCTGTTTGATGTAATGTGAGACCTACATACTCAACCCACAAAATCTTTATCTTCATTTATATTTCGTGAAAACAAATTGAGGCAAACCTCAATTCCAGCTCACCTGGAAAGAAAAGACGTCTTTTCTCCTGCTCTTGCTTCACAGGGCATGTTTATTAATCCCAAAGCACTTCCTTGACCTCACCCCGACCATTCAACAAGTTTTCATCAATTGTTATCTCTGGTCCCTGTACTACCCCCCACCCCCGCCCGCATGGGTTGACAGGAAAACTTGTAGAATCTGGTTTCATGGGAGGAAAATGCATTGCCCTTCTGAAGCCCCAGTCTATACCCCCCAAAAAAATGCTCCATTCAGTGTGGTGAATTTTTCTTGAGTAAGTGACTTACAATGGGCATTGTCAAAACTAACGCAAGAAAAAAAAAAAAACTAACGCAAGAATAAAACCAGGTCTTGGGTATTGCAATCTCAACCATGAGGGCTAAATCCACGATAGGCAGCATTTCTACATATTGATTCCTGCAGCGTGTTCCTGGGTTCATCAAATGTGATCTGATTAAGAGATTATTGGGAAGGTTGTGCTATAAATCATGCTGTTAGTCACATGCATTCCTACAATGCTAGAAAAGGAGAATTTAATATTGGAATGCATTTACAGTACCACCAATCAAGGAACAGGGTGGAAATGAGGGGAAAAAATCTACAAATAACCAGCACCAGCATGCTTCAGGAAATGAATAATTACATGAATTTAGCTGTTTATTAGTGCAGAGGCATGCTGTAAGAATTAAATGAGAGGAAGGAAAGGGGTGGCTCAGAAGGCCGTTAATTTGCAAAATACAAAACTCAACATTTTCAAGAAAAAATACAATTAAAATGTGTATATATTTTTGACAACTAAATTACAAATGTCTTTGTAATTTATATATATGCTGTATATGAAAAGCAAGGAAAACTGCTGTATTTTTTAATGGAAATTGTCGGGCTCAATCCCTGTATAAGCACCAAATGCATATCATTTAGGATAATGTCACTGACACACGTTTGACAACTAAATTACACAGCTCTTTGATATACTGTGTATGAACAGTGGCAATTATGGCCAATAAAATCAAAGAAAGAAAAAAAAACTAATTAACACTAACATATCATTATGACTCACTAGCATATAAAATCCCATGCCTGCTCTAAATTGCCAGCAATTGGCAATTCCCAAACTCCTAAGGATGAAGACAATAGTCTCCAAATAACTGGAGCCACCAGAGATTATGGGGGGCTCCTGGGAGCTTTACCATAGCTTTCTTCTATCAAAGCACAATAATGACTTATAAAACCCAGCCATCCCTGCTCCCAAGAATTATAAACTGCAGTGATTAGTTTGGGATCCTAAACAAATTATGACACTGCCTTATTAAAAAAAAAAAAAAGATGGTGGTTAATTATTTTGGTAGAAAGAACATGGAATTTGGAGACAAAAGGCCTGGTTTGCATCCAGATTAGGCATTTATCATCACTGTAACTTTGGACTGATGATTTAACTCTCCATCAAGCGGGAGAGTTAACTCACATCACATGTGATCTTACTCAACATCACAGAGTTGTTGTGAGGAGACATGAGGCAAAATGAATGTGAAAATATTCAAAAGTGGGGGGAAACCCACTCTACAAATGTTAACCCTTCCCCTGCGCTATGAACAGGCTTCATCTAAACTTAGCAAGTAAGAAGAGTACAAAAGTATCCAGCTACAAAAATCCGAATACACTGAAATTAGACTGATCTTAATAGAAAGAGTAACACATTGCAGAGGAAAAGACTCCATGAAATCTGGACTTAGCAAAATTGACCCAGGTTTCATCTGGAGAAAATCAGGCAGAGATTTTCAGTAAGACATTAAACCTGTTTTTACACAGTGAGTAAAAATCTTAAAAGCCTCTGTGGCTTCGAGATCCTATAGAAAAGCGCTGGAGATGCTAAATTAATTGAAATTAAAAAAGTAAAAATAAGAAGCACACCTGGCTACCGACAGCTAAGTAAAAATGTATTACCAGAAGATTCAACAAATAACTGTAGAAAACAGTTTTTTATTCTTCCAACTTCATTATTGAAAACTTCATGGTAGCAGGTGACTTCCTAAACTCTTACAGTCACTCAATGCTGACATCACTGAAACCCAGAAGGGGGCAGATTTTCCAAAATTTTTCTGGATGTAAGGTATTTCTGCATAAATGTCCCAAGTAAGAAAACACATTGAGAGCACTCTGTGAAGGTCATCATGCCATCCAAGTGTGTAAGATGTTATTGGTAGAGAAATCCAATAAAAGTTTTTAAAGATTTTGGATCTTGCAGAATAAGCCCAGATCTGTGAAATTTGTAAAATAAGGAATTCTACAGAAATGGCATTAAAAAAAAAACACACGCATATCTCAATACAAAGTTATGCTAAATTGAAGGGGTGGAGAACGGATCCCACAAGACAAATTCCTTTCCCAGCTTCCCTGGCTGTTCTTTGATAACCCTGACTTTGATTTTCTGTGTCACTCAGTCACACACACGCACTTCCTTGTTCATGTCTGGTCCCCTGCAGTTACTCCTCTTCTGAGTTATTGAGCTTTCAAATAACTGATTTCTCCTGTTGCTCTTCTGAACTCCCTACACGGTTCGGGCAATCAGTTCATCAGTTATCCATTCCTGACATGGATTCAGCACGGCTGGCCTCTCCTATGGACCACTGCTTGGGTGGCAAAGCCCCCCCACACACACACACACAGGAGTGAAGGGTGTGAGAAGGCCCTAGTGCAACCCAGGGGAAAACTGGTTTGCAAAAAACCAACTCAAAAGCATCTGCCTTCCTTAAAATTCCATCGAATCTTGAGTTTCCAGAGAGTCCTCTAGGCCTAATGGATCGCCTAAGCCTGCCTGTGAGTCGAAGGGAGGGCCGGACTTTTTATACGCATTGTGAGCATTCATAAACCTCTGCAGGTATTTGGAGGTGTACAGCCAGTGGTGTTTCAGGACGTCTTCCATCTCGTAGCACTTGGACTGCCTGGCGTTCATTTTCCGGAAGCGCCTAAACAGTTTGTTGCCAGACTCATTGCCCTCGCTCGCCCAGGCCCCGATGGAACCATCTCTCTCGATAATTTCGGGGACGTGGGCCAGGGTTTTGTGGAAGTAATTGGTGATTTTGCCCTCGTATCTATACTTGAACTTGGTAGACAGGAGCTCGGCGAAACGCTGGGAGTTGAAGCTGTACTGGCACAGGGATTCTGGGCACTCTTTCGCGGGACACGAAGATCGCCATACAGGCTTCATCTTCAGGTAAAGGTCCATGAGCTCCCTCAGGGCTTCGTGCCTCTCCTCAGAGGGGATTAGTTCACAGACTGCTTCAACCGTCTCTTTGGTCATGAGCTTCCTGGCGAAGTTGCCGTTCATCCTCATGATGGGCTTCAGGTTCATCTTCTTGCGGAGATGCTTGTCCAGCGTGGCCTGCCACCTTCTCCGCTCCTCCTTGGACGCGCCGGCCTTGCTGTAGGCCTGGCCTATCTCGAGCTGGAAGATCTTGTAGAACTCGGCCGCGTTGCCGATGTCGCAGTGGAGCGCATCGATGGAAGGCACCGTCTCAATGAAGGGCTTCGAGGAGACGCCCTTGACCCGGTCCCTCAGCTCGTCCACGGACTCGTGGTAGGGGTTGGAGCGCCAGACCTCATAGCGCTCCAGGTTCTCCGAGTGGCTCCTGGTGATGGAGTGCAGGACGAGGTTCTGAGAGGCTTCCAGGCGGGTGGCGTCGCAGAGGGTGCAGATGTAGACCGAGCCCGAGGCCTCGAGGCCTTCGACCTCCCGGACAAGCTTCTCGTCGTATCCGGTGCCCCTGAAGATGAACCTGAAGGTCCGCAGCGCGCCCCCCATCTCCAGCAGGAGGTGGCTGCTCTTCATGGCCTCCCTCTCGGCGACCAGCGGGCTCAGGATGGCCGTCAGGGTCTCGTGGTCGGCCTCGTCCGCCAGCATGAGACACAGCGGCTTGCAGCACAGCTCCGAGTTCGGTTTGCCCTCCTCGAACACCTGCACGCTTTCCGAGCCCTGGGCCACGGTGATCCTCATGACCGTGAACGAGAACCGCACGGCCTTCTCGGGGACGGCCGGGCCGCCGCCGTGCTTCTCGCTCACGTCCCCCATGCCGTCGCAGGACTCCTTGACCACCACGGTGAACGGGCCCCCGAGGTGGTCGTCCAGGCCCCGGGCCCTCATGCCTTCCAGGAGGTCCTCCTGCATGTCCATCAGAGCGGACACCAGGGCCGCATCGTAGCGGAACCGCTTGGCGATGGTGCCCACGGGGTAGTCGTCCACGCAGGGGGACAGGCCCGACAGGCCGTCGATGATGCCAACGTGGGCGCTGGAGGACACGTTCTGCAGAGGCGGCTGCCACTCGAAGGCGTGGTGGCCGGGCAGGAGGGCCTTCTCGGCGGCCCGCAGGGCGTGCAGCGGCTGAAAGATCTGCCTCCCGGTGATGGCCTTCACGGTCCGGTACATCTTGTGGTACTGGCTGCAGCTGAGGAAGGTGTTGACGCGGATGGCCAGGCAGACGGCCGGCTGCAGGCCGGGGCCGCGGCCCTGCAGGACGGCCTCCAGCTCGTCGGCCTGCCGGTGCTCGTTCCTGGCCCGCAGCGCCAGCAGGAACAGCGCCAGGCACACGGACTTCACGTCGCCCCCCTCCTCCCGGTCGGCGAAGGCCTTGACCTGCAGCTTGAGCTCCCGCAGGCGGTGCTTCTGAGCCCTCCGGGTCAGCGACAGCAGGGGCTGGCGCGGCCGCCCCCCCTTGTTGATGTGCACAAAAGTCTGGTCAGAGTCCTTGTGGCCTGCCACGTGCTGGTTGTACCTCTCCAAGCTGACCTCCTCGTCGCACCCTTTGGCCGGACATCTCACCATCAGGGAGTTCAGGATGCTCAGAAAGGACCTCCCCGGGCTCTCCAGGTCGGTAGGGAAGCAGGGATACCGGCAGCAGGGACAGTGGCTGCCCGTGGCTTTGAGGCGGCGGAGAATGCAGACCCTGCAAAACACGTGCTTGCAAGTGGTCTCCACGGGGTCCGCCAGGATGTGCTCACAGATCCGGCAGGAGATGGACTTCACGAAGTGGGCCGGGAAGTCCACTGCCAGGAGCTCGGTACCAAGGTGCACGTTCCCGCAGTCGGAGGCCTTCCTGGTTGCCCCGCTGTCGCGGAGCCCGGCCCGGGCTCTTCTCCGGTGCCCACGGGCCCTGCCCGGCCGCTCAAGCACGGTTCTGAGCCTTTTGCTGAGCTGTGCATTTGGCTGAGGACTCTTCCTCTTGAGTCCCTGGCGGGCAGCGCGGCAGAGGTCGCAAGAGGGCGCGTGGGGGAGCCACTCCGGGGCCGCCTTCCTCGGGAAGCAAACCCCGCGTGGGGCGCTGCTAAACCTTCTGTACATGACCTTCCAGCACTTGTGGCAGAAGTCGGTGGGGTGGACGGAGTCAACGTCTGCTTTCACATCGATCTGGAAAACCTTGGCAATGAGGTCTGGCCAGGATGTGGCCCTCCTTTCCTTCTTCCGTAGAAGGACTTGGGTTTTGCCATCCACGGGCCCGTGGACCGGATACCTCCTATTACGCCCGTCGGTTTTCAAAGAATTCCCACAGATTCGGCAGAGATGTCGAAGGTTGGCTTGGTGGATCGCTTTGTCTCTTGATTTCCCATCATCGTGGGGTTCCTTCAGAAACTTGGGGTGAGCTTTCAATGCTGGTGGACTCAGGGCTGCCTCCTGACCATCAGCCTTGTCCGGGACTGCTGGAGATTGCTCCAGAGAGGGTTTCCCCTCAGAGGAAACTTTCTTTTCTATTTGAGCTTCTTCAGGTGCCTTTTCAAGAGACCGCACCCTGAACAGTTTAAATTTCCATTCTGAAAATTTAATATGTGGGTGCTGGATCTCATCTGGGGCAGAAGTGAGTCCCAGGGTGGGTGGCAAAGAGACAGCCATGCTGCCTGAGATACCTGAGAACAATGAAAACAAGTCAGATTAAGACCAAAAAAAAAAAAAAATCAATATCCCACTGATGCATCTCGGGAGGAATACAAATTTAAACATTCAATTATTCATTCATTTGTTGATCCTCCAAAAAGTTACTTATGAAACCTCCTATTTTTTTTTAAGATTTTATTTATTCATGAGAGACACAGGCAGAGGGAGAAGCAGACTCCATGCACAGAGCCCGGTGTGGGACTCGATCCTGGGACCCGGGGATCACGTCCTGAGCCGAAGGCAGACGCTCAACCACTGAGCCCCCCAGGTATCCCTAAACCTCCTATTTTAATAGACTATGTTAGGTGCAGAGCATACAGCAGAGAACAGTCATTCCTTGCTTTGCCAGTGCACAAGGTCATCTATACCAACATGCACCACTATGCTTCGATTTACGTATATATGTACCAACTTATTTTCTTTCCACCAAAACCTGAAGGTCTTTGAGGACAGAATCTTCGAGTGATTCATCTCTATCTCTCCAACATTCCTTGTACGCATTAAGGCTGAACAGTCTTTTGTTGAATAAATACAAGGAAAAACTGGCTAGTAAAAAACACAGAAAAGTCATATTTTCTGCATTGTATTAGTCTCATTGTACTAGCTGGACAATATATTTCCAGCTTTTTAAAGCAGTCTCCTGGGAGATTGGTTGTTTATTTCTTCCAAACGGGTCATAAAGGGATGCTAGAGCTACAAACTCAAAGAAACTAATTACTCACTACTTGAAAGGACGAAGTGAATTTTGAGGCTTTATGAATGCTAACTAATAATAAGTATCATGGATAGTAATTATGCTTACAATTTTAATTAGTGAACACTGCTGTAAATTATAAGGCTGTGTCTTACATTAGAAACAAAACAAAACAAAAAAACCCCACAGAACTCTCTAAACCTGCAACAAACCATATTGTGCTCATAACAAAGATCCTTAAGGACTTTTAAGGTGAAAAATTCAAGGAGTTTCAGGTAAAAATCATCCAGGCCCTCCTGGAAGTCATTACTGGACAACAAGGTTTGGGGGGAAGGAGGTGCAGTGGCTAATGCTGACTGCTGCTACCGAAGTTTCTTTTTAAGTCATCCCTTTAAACTACTGAAGTTTGCTCTATCTTGTATGCTCTAGACTGCAGGGACTGATGTTCTTAATTTCCAAGACCCGGTTAAAAAGGAAATCCTGTGAAATTGTTCTATAGGCAGGACTGTGTGAGATCTAAACAACTGCAGTCTCAGAGGTCTCATTAACCTCAAAAGTATTTCACCTGCAGCCCAGCAAACACCTCAACATTGCTTAGGGTTCAGTTATGTTCCTCAATTCTGTCCTGTGTCAGGTGTGAAGGCCTTCTGGGTCTCCCCTCCCCCATGGGCTAAACTCCTTCCGTCAGATGCTTAACTGACTGAGCCACCCAAAGGCCTTTTCATGCCATTAGACTTGTCCTACCCAGGCTTTTTCTAACATGCTTGTTCTCTGGATTTCCAAAATAATATTTTGAGTTTTTATTTAAAAAAAAAACTGCATCACCATCTCTGGAGCTAAATAATGAACTTTCTCAATGAGTAAGTCAACCACAAGGCATGTTGGAGGGGTCTCTAGAACTATCTCCCCTCCCTCCCCATTCCTCTCCTGACTCCCACTGGCTGGAAACGTTATGTCAAAATCTGCCAAAATACATTTATTTAAATACTCCCAAAGAAAGCATACCATCACCAACCGATTATTAGCCATTGACATCCAAATCAAATGTATTTGTTGTTGTTTTCAACTCAACTGCTAAAACTTTATCCAAACTAGAAGCAAGAAGGGGGTAGAAGGGATATTATTCTTCTTGCCTTGAGAGAAATATACACTGAGATGCTGATCGTGGTTATCTGTGGAAGCTATAGATGTTTTATTTAAAAAAAAAAGATTTTTATCTTTAAGTAATCTCTACACCCAATGTGGGGCTTGAACTCACAACCCTGAGATCAAGAGTCACACGTTCCACCCCCTGAGCCAGCCAGGCACTCCCGCTATTGATGTTTTATTTTTTTAATCCTTACCTATGATTTCTATTTTTTCTGAAATAAACATGTATTACTTTTAGAAGAAGATGGAATTTTTAATAACTAGATCTAATGAGGTATGTTTTATCTATCTGGCTAACAAAGATTTAAAATATTATTATTCAGCATTAATGAAAGTATGGGGAAATGCAAGTATCTTCATACATTCTTAGGAGGAGTATAAATTGGTATAATATCTCTAGTGAACAATTTAGCACTGTTTTTCAAAAGTTTAAGTATATCTTATCTTTGGTGCAATAAATTTGCTTTTAGGAAGTTATTCCATAGAAACATTCTCACAGGCTATTTCTCGGGTGGGAATAAACATTCCACAGGTTATTCCCACAGTGAATATTACATGGAGAGAGGCTGAGACGCAGAAAGAGATTTGTTTAAAAAAAAAATTGTTACTTTCAAAAAATAGGAAACAGCATAAATAATCACCAATAGGGCATTATTAAATAAACTAAGATCCAGATATACCATGGAAAACAATACAGACATTTAACATTTCTATATGCATTAATACATATCTGCAATATCCATATGCATCAATGATACGGAAAGATACACGACAAAGCAGAGAACAGGACAACGATAGCTAGTAGGATTCCTTTTATACACATTTGATCACACCCCTGGAAGTACATTCGTGCTGGGAGGGTATGCACTAAAATCTTAACAATGTTTACTCTCCAAAAATAGAATTACACTCGAAAGGGATCCCTGGGTGGCGCAGCGGTTTGGCGCCTGCCTTTGGCCCAGGGCGCGATCCTGGAGACCCCGGATCGAATCCCACGTCAGGCTCCCAGTGTATGGAGCCTGCTTCTCCCTCTGCCTGTGTCTCTGCCTCTCTCTCTCACTGTGTGCCTATCATAAATAAATAAAACAAAAACAAAAAAAAAAAAGAATTACACTCGAAAGAAAGAAAGAAACAAAAGAAAAAAGAAAGAAAAGAAAGAAAAGAAAAGAAAAGAAAAGACAAAAGGGGCCTTTGGGTGGCTCAGTCAGTTAAGCATCTACCTTTGGCTTGGGTCATGATCCCAGAGTCCTGGGGTCAAGTCCCATGTCGGGCTCCCTGCTCAGGGGAGGAACAGTGAGCCTGCTTGTGCTCTCACTTGCTCTTTCTCACTATCTCTCTCTCTCAAAAATAATAATAATAATAATAATAATAATAATAATAATAATAAATAAAATCTTAAAAAACAGAATTGACACTGGTAATATAGTCTCTTTAATTTTCTATTTTATTCATTCTTACGTCATTTTAATTTTTTGCAACAAACATGTATTTTTTTAAATGTGATCAACTTACTTTAGGGAAAAAAATGTTTTAAAGACTAAATTTATAGGTACATACCCATTGTCACTTTTCTTTATTTCTTCCTAAATCCACCCTTCCCAACCCCCAAGAAATTTTAAGACCTGGCTAAGCCTCAAATCTGACCAGCATCCTTATCTTTCTTTTCTGGTAAATGTGTAGAAAGGGAACCAAAATATGGGCCTATACAGATCACGAAGCTGGGATTATGTAAGCGTTATCCTGTGATCATTGTTTGACACTCAGGAATCTTACAAACGCTTGATCTCTCTTCTAAGGAAAGGTCCCAGCCTCAGACCAGCCTGGGGTGCTGGCTCAGCCCCGTTGCCGGGAGGCACTGCCATCTCAGTGGGGCCATCACTTGCCATCACAGCTGTGGGGTCTTTGTCAACACAGGGCACAGATTCATTTGGACAAACTAGGCTGGGGTGGCCTGGCCCTGGGCAGAAGTCACCTTGGTGACTGTATAATTAGTTAGGTCAGGAGGCAGGGTCGCAGCAGCACCACCACCTCCCACTCCCAGCCCAGCCCCCTCCCTACACACACCTACACAAGTGTGTAGCACTTGTCCCACAATCTCCCCTCTTCACATCTTTGACTTGGTCTATATACAATGTTCCAAACGACCACTGTGTGCCCAAGGGTGACCCCCTGGCTGTCACACCTACCCTGCTCACGTATTCACTCATCCACTCTACAAATACTATTCTCTACTGTTTGCCAAACACCATCTTCAAAAAGTTGACAGCATCAGCCACCTTTCTAGAAGTCTCAGCCATCCACAAAATGACCCTAAGATTTTTTTTTCCTTCCCCCCCAGGCATCTTCTTGCTTGAACTACTTCAGAAAGAGAAGGGCACTGTCACAACCCCCGGTCAGGAATCCCAGTTCAAGAACATAATCTCTGCATAGGGTCTCTATAGTGTCAATTCTCAAAATTATTATCTTAATAGATAATAGGCACCAGGGCGACTCATCCCGTTAAGTGTCTGCCTTGGACTCAAGTCATGATCCCTGCTAAGTGGGGGTCTGCTTCTCCCTCTCCCTCTGCACTCTCTCTCTCTCTCAAGTAAGTAAATAAAGTATTTTTAAAAATTATTATGTGTGGGCAGCCCTGGTGGCGTAGCGGTTTAGCGCCGCCTGCAGCCCAGGGCGTGATCCTGGAGACCCGGGATCCAGTCCCACATCAGGCTCCCTGCATGGAGCCTGCTTCTCCCTCTGCCTGTGTCTCTGCCTCTCTCTGTATGTGTCTCTATGGATAAACAAAATAAAAAAAATCTTTTAAAAAAATGATTATGTGTTAGAATTATAGGGGAACTTGTGTTTAAAAAAAAATAAAGCAGACCATCAGGTTCCAGAAATTCCGATTCAGTTTGTCTAGAAAAGAGTCCAGAAATTGCAGGTGTTAAGCATTTCGGTTGATCCTGCTACGAGTAGCCCACGGGTCACGCGTTGAGAGAAGCTGGTCTCCCACTCAATCCAACCTGGTTCAGGAAATTGCTGGCAATACCTGGGAATACCTGGGAAACTACATTTCCTCCCACCCTAGAATTCGTTTGCTGATTACTTATCATGCCTAGACAAGCACAGCATCTCT